AGCTCAGTTCAAAAATTTGCAAATAGCCGGAAACCGCGGTGCGGTCCCGAAGCGCACGCATGCTACTAGCACCTTCAATTACTGGTTCACTAGTCATAAAAAAGTATCTTCAACAACCACTTCACGAAAGCGCATTTCGGTCCTGAGATGTTCATGGAAAAGTGGTTTAATTTCCAAAAATTTCAATCAAAAAATTCACAGTGTGGCACATGCATGGCACATAACTACAGCCTCAATAAACATTTACTGTATTTTGATTCCAAATTCGTAACAGGAAAAAGTACTCGATTTCCCTATTTCACTTTTGTGATCGTCTGTAGAATTTCAATTTTGCCTGTACAGTTTTGTATTTGATTGCGGGTTTTTCAGTTGTTTATTATGAATTTTTCGCTTTTCAAAATGATATAGATATTGAGGATATCGTGTGTCGCAGAGGCTGATATCGCATCTCAGCGCGACGAGGTGGGGTAAACCTCTTAACAAGACATTTAGACGACGGCGTATTTACGGTACCATTTGCAGTGGCTGCTTCGGCGCTGGCTGCGGCAGCAGTCGGCTGCTCGGGTACAACTTGCACGCCTGCCGACAATATTAGTCAGGTTTAATGTACACTTATCAAGAATGAATTTTTTCGAGGTGGTTGACCACATCAATTTTTGCTTAAATGAACTTCATCACCTACGTCCTACAAAAAAATTTTGTGTCGCTTCTTGAGATTTTGGTGAGCTTATGATTCCAAAATTTTTAGAATAGATTGTAGCGGCGGCCAGTCTGGTTCGTCTCTATGAAGTTTCTTGATTTGATTTACCAATCAGTATGTTCGCTCGATACTTGAACTGAAGTAGCTCTCATACTACCTGATGTCGATGTCCTCAGATTGCTTCCATTCCGTTTTCAGGACCGTGTTCGAAGGAACGGGTAAGGAAGCAAACTGGACAGTGTCAACGACAGAGGAAGAGCGAAAACAAATGTTCCAAAACTCGCCTATTGCACACGTTGAAAAGGTTTCTTTGTCTTATTTCAACGATATTCCATCAATTGAGATTCATTGAGGTTATTACCCCTTACCTACTTTTGATTGGAGAGAAAGATCTGCGTGTCGCACCTCACTATCGAGCTTTCATACGGAACTTGTTGGCTCGAGGCGTTCCATGCAAGTGCGTTGGTTGCTGAACTCCTTATATAAACCCTTTTGCAACACAACACTGTTTATTCTTACAGAATCTTGACTTATCCTGAATCAGCTCACCCGATTGAGGAAGTGGATGCCTACGCAGACTCAACGATTAACATCATTAGATGGTTCCAGAAGTCTCTGAAATAAGGATGCGCGCAAGCGCCAGCATGTTTCCGGCCAAGCAGCAACAACTGGATGAAAAATTCGCTTTTAATTTGATACACTCCTCCTTCTTAATCATCGTCATCTCTTGTCACTCTTCCTCGGTGAAGTTTTACGCTTAACCCCAGATTTCCGATGAGATCTATATATTTTGATAATAATCGAGTTTTGATAATTGGATGTACTTCACATATTCTTATACCATTGCTAATAAAGATCTATTATACATTTCTTCTTTCGGTACCTCCCAAAGAAAACATAGAATAGGTCCCGACTGCCGAAAAGTTTGTAGACAAGTACAGTCCGAATTTTGCTTTTCATAGGTAAGGGCAACCAAGTGATCCACCACATCTATAAATTTAACCAAAGCACTCTGAAACAAAATTAAAAATTCCTGGAAGCAGGATGTATGTTAAAGAGAATTTTTTGGAAATATTCAGTCTTTGTGGACTTCCGGTGCCCAGGAAATGTGATAATCAACATATGTAAATTTTCCTAGGAAAAGTTGATCACAACATCACCATGAACTTCTGAAGAGATGCAATATTTACCGATGTCAAAAACGAGCACCATAACATTACGCAAATGGCCTCCTTTCTATCAAAGGCTTTCAGCTGTAGATTCGCAAGCCATTTGGTACCTTGCGCTAATTAAGATTTTGAGAGTAGTTTTTGATGTGGGGAAAGAGATGGACGGGCTGGAAGAAGAGAAGCTTAAAAATTTGGCAAAGTCAATAATTTCATTGTAAGGACGAAGTAGATAGTATGGAGCATGTAGAAGTTTCTAGAGTACTTGCATTGCTGATTGGTAACCAAGTGGTTGGACAAAAATAACAAAAAAAAAATCCTTTTGAAGTACGCTGTTGTTTTTTACTTTACATGTTGCTTTACTTTATAGACAAATGCCAACTACTGCCAACTTAGAGATGGTTCTTCCAAACATCATAGAACAGAACAGTACAGATTCATAAAACAAGTACTTGGCAAAGTTATCTTGCCACCAAATGTCCAGAATGCGTGTTCTCCAAGATGTGGCGAACATAAAGTTCAACAACTCGAAAGATTTTTCAGTATGGAACTCCCTCATTCAAATTTTAATCCACCAATATACTTGTTCAGGAAATGATTTGGTACATGATCACGCTATCGTAGCTCAATTAGTAAACTTGAATTTGAGCAACAGCATACTGAAATCATCCTAGTTTTTGTAATACGTTTAGAAGGTGAAAAGAGGACTTGGGAAGTAGTTTGAGATACTAATTATTGGTAATACGTGTTTGGTGCCAAAACAGTATCGTTGAGACTGAATGGTGCATCGAGAGATCACTTTATGATTGTAGGAAATGTCAGAGTAAATCAAGCTTGCCCTCTATCCTGGATTAAATTTACCTTGATGAGCCACGCTCATGAATACGGGTTAATCGCTTTTGTGGTAAGATTTATTCTCAGAATCGTTGATGAATGGGGTGATTCAGGGCATGTTTACCCTTGAAGTTAGATCAACGTTGAGCTTAAACTTACTCTTCGGGGTAAACCTGTGCTTCGTGTATGCGGGTTTTATGCCTTCTGGGGTAAAAAATACCCTAGGGTAAGCTTTACCCTCAGGATTCGTTGATGAATACAGGTACTGGGGTACCTATTCCGTTGATTCCCTTGAATGCTAACGTGTACACCTTATTAATTAATTAATTTATTTATTTATTTTATGCATTCCAAAAAAATGTTCCTGACGAACGTGGTTAGTGCAGAAAAAAAACGAAACAGAAGAAAAAAACGGTTTATCATAGACGTCTCCAGTGGCTAGAGTAGATCCAAATTTGAAATCAGCAAGCAACCCACTAATTCAACAGCGTAATTCATGGTGTGAAAACTGTAAGCGAATCACTCTCAAACGAATTCAAAGAGAAAACACCAAAGCGAATGGGCGAATCCATGCGTGCTCGGCGGAGGACCTCTTTCAGCTTCCTCTTACATCGCTACCATGAGAACAAGCAGAAGTTGAATGAAATGGGATGGCTTGGAAGAGATTTGTAAACGATTCAAAGTAGCTTCTAGGCAAAGACGACTACCGGAGACGAGCTAAGATATGGGTTAGTGCAACAGTCACAAGTTGAAAAAGATTCAAAGTTCAAAAGCTCAAACATAAAAGCAGCATTTGCAACAAAAAGGAGAATTTCTATTCACTCTCAGATTGTCGCAATGGAGAGGATAAATCAATTGCATTAATTTAACGCTGAAAAACGTTTGTAGATGATGTGCAGTGCAGTTTCTGGTAACAGTCTAAGCCATCTGGAGATTCTTTAAAATAAACTGTTAAAAACCCAACGAAAACGCTTCCTGTAAATTCGTAAATAACGAATGTTAAACCAACCATTTCTGTTTGTAGGTCTGAAAATCCAGTATTTACTTGGGGCAAGTCTTAATTCTTTATGCAGAAGTTGAAACCCAAAAACAAGATCAAAACATATTCGTCTATGTTCTAAGCTTTTCATTGACAAAGATTTTAGGCGATTTTCATAGCTTAGCATGTCGATGAAATTGAGTTTTTTACGACATCTCAGATATAAAATACGAGTAAAAGTTTGTTGGACTTTTTCCAGCTAGTATTTTTCTTCAGAAAAGGGTTCCATATTACAGAGCAGTATTCCAAATGTGGCAACACATAAGCTCGGCAGAGACGTTTGAGAATCACCGGGTTGTCGGTATGCACGTTACGAAAAATCGCAAATAAAAGCGAACAAGCTTTGTTTACAACATTGTCAATATGAGCAGAAAAATTTAGATAGGAATCAATCAAAACTCCCAGATCTTCGGCGGTAGAACAATTTCTCAGTCTGCTTCCATTTATTTCATAGGTTGGAACTTCAAGACCACCAAAATGCACGACAAAACGTTTTTGCAAGTTGATAGGAATGCCTAAGCAAATCGCCCAGCGCATCATTTTTTTTCATCAAGGGAAGCTTATTGCGCATCTGACCTCGACTTTATTATCAGGACTATAGAATAGGTAAATTTTTATATCATCTGCATACATTTGAACTGTTATATTTGTTGATGTTTTCAAGATGCTAGGAAGCTCGGGTATAGAATGGTTGCAGATATATATCCTTCATAAGTTGCTAATTTGCTAACGATTATATGTATTTGATCGTTAGCAGTGTTGATCTTCTATTTAACGACATACATCCTAAACCACATCAACTGAATCTGGGTAAAGGTCAATATAATCTGTGTGGCTCTAAATTTGAGGAAAGCAGGCTATCTCGCCAAGCTATGTTGCAGTTTTTATGCGTGTCGTTCAATTTATTCATGGTGCAGAAAAACTTTCTTTCAGTGCGTTTCGAAAATGCTATGGCAGATATGTACACGCAATTTATGCTATGCTAGTTTTTATTTATGCATGTTTTGAAGTTTAGTCATCATAACGCAAACATTACGCGGATTTGACAACACCTTCATAGGTTTCTTTTTGTTGCTCGCTGCACTTTTCTTTCTTATGTTACCGTCAGTCTTTAGTGTTTACTCCAGGAGCACTATATAGGGACATCCTTGGTGACGAGAAGCAAGCAGCCTTCCTTTCCAATCATTTACCACCTTTACATACCATCCAGTGTATGACAAAAATAGCCTTGATTGAATTCTATAAGAAATACAAGACGCTGTTTAGAAGTGATGATTTCAAAGCTTCCCCTCTTCATCTTCTTGCTCGTCGCTGTTCCGAATGTCATGACAGTAGGGATGCCAGGAGGACTCTACCCACAAGATCCAAATAATCCCAAATTTATGGTAAGCTGGACGCATTTTCCACTTCAAGATACTGGTAATATTTTCCACTCGACTGATGGCGAGATTTCGCTGGAGAGATTCCGAAAGTTTATAAACTCTGTCATTTGTCAAATGGTGGTTGCTTTCATCAAAGGAGTTGGCACTAGGCCATTTCAAAAAAGGCTGCACTGTACTGATCGTTGTAATGCTGTACCTAAACACCAGTGGCGGACTGAAGGCCCTGCTACTGTTTGGAAGTGACTTTAGACATGAGATAGAACTGTGCAAATGACTTGTTTTACCACTTGATAACAATAATGATTTGCAAAATTTTATTCCTTGGAAGATTTCGGTAAAAAATTTTGCGCATGTGTGGCTGACCTTACGAGCGCGCGGAATTCAAAGAAGTTCTCCCCCACCCCCTTCTTTCCAAAAAAATTCTTCGACAGCTGCTAAACAGCTTTACAACTGTTTGCAAAGCATATTATGGGTAGCAATACTGCAGGAAGTCTACTTGTGAAATATTTTTGGAGCGGCGGGTAACAAACTTACAACTTGGCTAATGTGCTGGGAGTTCCGCACAAAGTAATTCTACTCTAAGATTTGCTCCACATTGCGCCGAATGAAACTTGTCGAATTTGTAGCTCATAGTTCGAAGCTTCAAACCCAAAGAAACTTCATTAGAAAGTGTGGTACTTTTCCGTTAACCGGACCCATTTTTCAAAAGGCTCTCATGAATGCGCTATTTAGTTTGAGAACAATCTTTTCATAGATTCTACGAGGACCGCCTCTCTGCCACGTGTCAGAAAAAAATTGACACGTTTTGGTCCAACTTGACATTTTTTTTTCGAAAGTATTCCCGGTGAGGTAAAAGAGCATTTATGATCACCTAAAAGCTGTTTAACGGTTTCTGTAAGAGAAAAACAATTTAGAACTTATATTAGGACATTTATTGCTTTTAGGAATAATTCAAAAATGAATTTCTCTTCAAACACTGTCCGCCATGCGATTTTAGCCAAGAAGGACTGTAAATGATGGCTGAAGTACTTCGCTACTGCTTGTTTCGCCGCTAAAATGATGAGAATCTATCACAATTCTCTATTCTGAGCAAGTCCAGTCTGTTCATTAATAATAGGATAACGTCATAATCATAATGATATTTATTTTTGAAATTGTTTACTCGAAAATGGGGTCATTATTAGTTGAAAAATCGATTGAACTTAAGTCAGTAGGTAGGACAATACAAACTCTTGGTAAAACCTGCTAAACATGTGGATGACATGTCAAATTTTTTTGACACGTGGCAGAAGGTTGACACTCCTTTCCTGTGAGTTTAGGAGCAAATATGGTACAAGAAAAGAAGCAATATCCTTCTTTGAAAAAATGGGTCCGGATAACGGAAAAGTACCGAAAGTGTAACCAATCCATACAAAGTTATTTTCAAGGAATGCAACCACAGCCTCCTAAGGCAAACATTACTTATGAGTAATGGAATACTTTTGTAACTTGGACGATGACCCTACACGGACATACAACGAGCTCCTGCAAGATAAAAGCAAGCGAGTATTATGAATGCGACGAAGTTATATGTTTACTAATTTTAAGGGTTGAGAAGTCTAGAACCCACTTTTATGTTCCTTCTTTCTTACTGCTCCTCATCTATCGTCTTGAATAATTGCTTTGTATGGCTAACAAAGTTTAGAAATTGGCATGGAAAGCAGCCAAGTATGTGGACGAAGAATCTAGCAGCTCTTACATGATGGTTCCCATTAAGGTAGGATGTAATTTTCTTTATCATCTTGACCACCCTTCTGGAAAGTGTAGGATTCATATCACAACATTCCTTCCATTAGTTGTCAATGCTTTTCCTTACAGGTGACTGAAGCATGGAGTCAAGTTGTAGGAGGAATCAATTATTATTTGGTTGTATTGTACGGTGAATCCACTTGCGAAAAAGATGTAAGTTCATTTTTTGGAGTTTTCGTCTTGCTTTTCTCGGAGCTAGCTATTGTTGTTGTCGGGATTCCATATTCCATTCAAACTAACATCAATATTGCACCAGTTTACAATCAATGAAGGCAGGAAGGTTATTCCCTAAAATAAGCTTTTCACGGGATGTTCAAGACAGAGCTTGGGCAATTCGGACATAAGGGTTTCTCACCTAAAAACTATGAGGATAAAGCGAGAAAAGTTTGGACCTCAGCTCAAGGTGGTTACTCAAGGTCACTCAATCTGCATGACTTCTACAAATATGTCTGGGCATAGAAAGGTTTACATTAGTTCGCCATTTTGCGGCTTGTAAAATCATTTCCAAATATACGAAGAATATTCGAAAGAAATTCAACAGATAATGACACCTATAATATTACAAGATTCAACATCTGCACACCTCTCAAACTTTACAGGAACTTGCTGCGTCAGGAGAACCTCCAGCTAATTGCCAGTATAGAGCTAATGGGGACCGAGCTGTATGTGTTTATCTTCCCATTACTACTCATATAGCAGAATAGTCATTTTCAGCTTTACAATGTCAAAGTGCACACTAGACCTTGGCAGCATTATGAGCATTTCGCTGTTAAAAAAATTCGAGATGTTGGTGCTGAAGAAGAAATTTGAGGAACTTTTCTAAAACAAGAGCGTTTGTGACCGGAGGGCAATTTGGCCTGATCAATCGTTTTTAAAAAACATCAATAAAGAACATTCTCTCAGTCATTTTTTTCATTTACACAAATATACTTGCAAAACAAGTTAATTGATCGATGCGTGAGGATAAGAGGAAGGTTCCATTATTATATCTGTATTCTTAAAGAATGCTGCCCAGTTAGACTGGAACTTCTATTTTATTTGTAGTTAGGAATACTGGTGATATTGGTAGAATTGCAATCGAAGTAGAATGTGTATCATTACTGCGTGATTTGCTGTTGCCGATGGAACTTGTGAGCCGCCAAGTAACATTCGGTGGACTGGACTTCTCCATAAATTGACAAAAGTCTCAATAAACGCTAATTGTTAGCGCATCTTCACTCATTACTAACATCGTTTGCATCATCATCGTTAAAGTACAAAAAAAAGAAACAGAGCTGTTCGAAGCTAATTTTAAGGTGTTCCGGATTACCACGTTGACGACCGAGCCGTTTAGGACAAAGCTACCTCTAGCGTTTTTTTTTCGCGCATGTGAGCGTGCATACGAACGTATGCATGAAATCACTGTGTGGAGTCTTACGCTCATGCGAAGTTCTTTTCTAATGCGTATCTGACAGAATAATGTCGCAAGTCACACATATTAAGTTTGCATCACTTTCCTCTCCAACGAGCCCTGCAATATCTGCGTTTGGAAACCTCTTTTCAAAACTCGCTAGAGTTTTAGATGTTTCTTGCCTAGTTCATCCTTGATTCCCTTCAGAACAGCTATACAGTTTCGCCTTTTCAGAAAGACATAGTTAGATAAAACATAATTATCTTAACCACATCAAAAATGGACCAAATCATTGCCGCTAATCCAATATTACTTCACCCGATTATGCGTATATGAGGAAGTAAGCTAACACTCGGCTGTTGGCACACTATCTCATTGCTACTTTGAATACTTACGATGATAGGCCTGCGTAGAGATTTTACTTGTACAGGGTTGGCCGTAAATATAGCGACAAGGTTTTCACCTTGTATCTCAGAAAGGAAAAGTGCAAACGAGTCATGAACATAATATTTATTAAGTAACAACTGGTACAATTAACAATCATAAGTTACTTCTCGATTCGGGCACCTTTGGTACGGACGACAGGGCAAAGTCGCCTGGGAAAGGCGTCGATGACCGGACGCAGGAGTGCCTCGTCGATTTCGTCCCATTCTCGGATGAGCGCTGCCTTCAGAGAATCCAAATTGGGGTGGGGAGTGGCGCAGGCCTTGCTCCCAAGGTAGGACCACAAGATGTAGTCCAGTGGGTTCAAATCCGGTGACGATGCCGGCCATTCTTCTGCCGGGATGAAGTCGGGGAGTTCGCTCTTGCACCACGCTTGGACGACCTTGGCCTTGTGGGCGGGCGCCGAATTTTGCTGGAATGTCCACGGGCAGCGTGTGAAGTGGGAATTCGCCCACGGGAGTAGAGCATCTTCCAAAATCGTCTTCAGGTAGTAATCTTTGTCGACGGGGTCGACGAATGACGGCCGGGACGACCTTCGGACGGCCCCTCGACGACCTTCGGCGTGCGAGCAGTACGAGGTCTTCCACTTCTTCGGTGGTCTTGGAGTCCACCAAGGTCTCGATAACGTTGGAGTGTGCGATACACGACGCTGCGGTGGATGCCGAGGTGCTTACATAGCGATCGTGGCGGGTGGGCGGCCGGCTTCGTGCAGACGAAGGATAGCGGAACGATCAAGAGAAGGCTTCACCATTTCACTATAAATGGACCAAATTTAACCAAATTTTAACAGGAGTTAGAAAAAATGATGAGATTGAAAAATCGATAAAACTGGCGCGCTATGTGCGCGATAGAATAGTACGCTAATTGCATAAATCTTGTCGCTATAATTATGGCCAACCCTGTAGTGAAAAATAGGTGTCCATGGTGTCACAGAAGAAGCGCGCAAACTCGAAAAGTTGAGGTTTCAAGGAATTTTTTCGACCTAAATGTGAGAAATTGATTTCTACGTAACACAGCTTTAGATTCTTCTTAGAGGATGTATTAAGCCTTTCCAAGTGTAGACGGATATCTTTCTTTATAAATCAACTAGCTGGCTTACCCGGCTCCGCCGTATCCGGACCAAACTTGGCACACATACACTTCGGGCCCCGGCGGGTGTCACAGTCCACTTTTCGTTATCGATCGATGTCGATTTTACCGATTTTTATCGATTTTTTTGCAGAGTTCACCTACAGGGCTAGGAGTTGGCACAGGGGGGAAGTGAGCATGGGGATTCCGAATACAATATTAGTTTTCAGAATTATCGATTACTTTTATTGATTTTATCGATTTTTTTGTAAATTTTGACATGCGAGGCTGGGATTTTGCACAGGGGGGTAATCGAGCATGCTGATTACGAACACAATATTAGTTTTCAGGATCGTCCATTACTCTTATCGATTTTATCGATTTTTTGAAAATTTGAGCTAGGGGGCTGGAATTTGGCACAGGGGTGTAATCGAGCATGCTGATCACCCCCCTTGGGGATGATCAGCATGCTCGATTACCCCCCTGTGCCAACTCACAGCCCCCTAGCTCAAACTTTGCAAAAAAATCGATAAAATCGATAAAAGTAATCGATAATCCCGAAAACCAATATTGTATTCGGAATCCCCATGCTCGATTACCCCCCTGTGCCAACTCCCAGCCCCGTAGGTGAACTCAGCAAAAAAACCGATAAAAATCAATAAAATCGATATCGATCGATGACGAAAAGTAGCCTATGACACCCGCCGGGGCCCGTAGTGTATGTGTGCCAAGTTTGGTCCGGATACGGCGGAGCCGGGTAAGCCAGCTAGTTATATATAAGATAGTCCAGTTTTCCTTGCCTTTTAAACTGGTATAACTGTTTAGCCGTCTGCAGAGCGCTGATTTAGGGCTCTTTCTGACCATAAAACTTGACTTTCGTGAACCTGTTCTTCAACGCCATATTTCATAGAAAGGTGTTTCAGTTAGGGAGAGTAACTCCATCAGGACCTCTAAGAAAGTGTTTTGAAGGGTTATTCCAGTTTGAATTGTATTCGAAAACGGAAAACCCCACGTATCAAATTTATCGAATTTCATTCAACACCATTCTTCGAATATTGGAGTTCCCAAATTTTATTCGAAGATGGAAAACTCCAAGTATTAATTCTAATGCGAAATCGAATGTTTTATTTGCGTATCGAATTTATGTTAAATTCGGAGAAATTCGGACCAAAGTATAATTTGTACCACAGAACTTCTTCTGCTTTCTTGACGCTCCTCTTTAATGCAGCTTCGCTGCCACATAATTTTTGTCAGCATCTTCTTTTTCTGATTTGTGCCGTATCCTGTAAGCTGCTTGTTTTTCATGATGTGTGAGGACACAAATTGTTGGATTGCAAGTCGTTTGACAGGGTCTAAATTCTCTATCCAGGGCTGGCCCAGGTGGCTTATAGCAAGCTGCTTATCGTTTTGGGGAAAAGCAAAGGGATATCGTTTTTGTCGCAGAAAAAACACAGCTTAGCTTAGGTTTTTTAGTCGACGTTTCGTTTTTTGAGGGTTTTTTACGTTTAGGGTTTAGGGTCGGAGGAGACTTGTGAAAGTCAAGGGGACTTTGTTTTTTGCATTTTCGTAAAGCCACCTTTTGCTGTGTTCTGTCTCCGTCTCTGCCACTGAATTTGTCTTGCGCGTGTTTACGAGAGGTCATATCGTTACCTATGCATTGCCCTTTTCCTTTTCTCGGCATTGGGAAATTTTCATATCAAAACTTATCATGTTCTTAAGTCACTTGATATTACACAAATGAGATTGTTTGCTCCTCCATTCTTGTCCATATCGTTCCATACTAATTCTATAATACTACTAATTCTATATTAATACTAAATACTTCTAATATACTATAATATTCCAACATATGTGTAAATGGTTCACGTATCACATCTGTGGCCGTATTCATCAACGAACCCTTGAGGTTAAAACTTACCTCATCTAGCATTTTAGTTTATAACCCATATTCACAACATGATCGCAATGAAATTTTCTCGTGGGTTAAGTCTACCTTGAGGTGGAAATGAACCTTGAAACGCATAAACCCGTATTCATCATTCTACCTTGAGGTTAAAAGTTACCTCAATCATCATTTCTCCATCAACTTTCTATTATGCGTTCAAGGTAAAATTTAACCCTGGGATAGCTAGGATTAAAATCTACCTTGATTTTGCACAGAACATTTGTACTCTCTCGAAGGACGTTTCCAATCCTAATGGAACCGTTTTCAATGACAGACATATCTATATCTACAGTGAGTTTCGACTCAGTTTAGGCGGAAAATGAACTGCCGGGAGTTTGCTTCGCAAGGACTCGCGCCACTTGCAGTCTGCATCTTATCATTCTAACCTGTCTCGATGGGGTGGGGGAACGAAAGCCGCCAGGTCCAGCCGCCTCCGCGGACTGCTGGTCCTGGAACGACATGCAACAACGCTGCGAAAGGACCAGCTGGCCGCGAAAGGCGGCTGGACCTGGCGGCTTTCGTTCCCCCACCCGTCTCGATGAGCTAGGGGCGTTGCAGACGCGCTGCTCCACTTGAATGTTTCGTCTACTCCGGGTTGAAAGAGATGTATAACTAGCTCAAATTTTATTGTTTACTTAGTCTGATTCCTTATCCCTAATCATGGTGTTCAAGGCTCTAAGAGTCATTTAATGACCATTGATAGAAGCGTCGAACCATTCTGACAGATACGCATCGATGATTTGCACTTCAAGAAAGCTCCTTTCTTTGGAAAAATACTTGTGGCCGTCAATACAGCCAAGCATCACTAATGGGAATCATGCTGTTTGAACCAGCGAACGAAAGGTGATTCCTGCGTGTAGCAGGTTTCTTGTGGTCGAAAGCATAGAATCTTGCTTTTAGGACTTCAAGAAGATGTTTGGTGGGTAGTTTCTAAATTGCCTTTGTCCATTTCAGGCTTTAAAGAAGGCGAATCATTGCTCAAATGTAGATAATAATCGCCAATTTCAGCCGTAGCTAAAGCGGAATCGATACAGTACCCAACAAAGAATAATA